AGGCTTGGGTTTTAGGGTGTAGGGTTTAGGGTTTAGTTTAGGGTTGAGGGTTGGGGGTTTAGTGCTTAGGGCTGAGGGGGTCAGGATTTAGGGTTGAGGGTTGCCAGCTCTGTAGCAACCCGTATAGTAGCCTTTCGAGTTTCCCCCTCTACAGTAGCGCTGAGTGCCTTGTAGTAAGCAAAACCCTGAACCCAAAATCCGAAACCCCAAGCCCTAAACCCGAAACCCCAAACCCCAAATTTTAGACCCGAAACCCCAAACCCGAAACCCCAAGCCCTAAACCCTAAACCCAAAACACCCAAACCCCCAAACCCTAAACCCTAAACCCTAAACCCTAAACCTTAAAACCCTGAAACCCCGTAACTCCGGCTATTGGCGACTCTGAGGTCCAAACGCTGAGGCTCAGCCACGCCTGGCGAGTCGCCGGGCTGGAACGCAAGAAGGCGCTCACTGCCTCACGGTTTAGGCTTTGGGGTTTGGGGTTTAGGGTTTGGGGTTTGGGGTTTGGAGTGTTGGAGTTTAGGGTTTAGGGTTTAGGGTTTAGGGTTTAGGGTTTGGGGTTTAGGGTTTCGGGTTTACGGTTTAGGGTTCGGGGTTGGGGGTTGGATGAAGGGAAAGAGTGTTCAAAATCCCGGGTTTCCCAGTTTCGGGTTTAGGGTGGTTTAGGGTTCAGGATCAGGGGTAGAGGGCTTAGAGGTAAAACACTATGCCCCAACACCGGCACACCTGTCCTGCCCTGGCCGCCCGCCTCAAGCGTCAGGAAGCATACCTAGTTCAACCCCCAATCCTACATTGGGATCTGAAAAACCCTCAGGGTTTCCAGTCTGTTCGCAGGTTTAGATCAGCAAAGCACACAATCATGCGCAAAGGTAGCACTACGCACATGTACTGCATCAGCATAGGCAGTCTTATCTAACGCGACAACATGCGTTTGTATGGGAAATTGACAAGCGCAGCCTTTTACACGTGGGACTAGCTATGTCCTGAACTCATTCTAGGCCCTGGTGAAAGGCAGTGCGCTGACCGGAATGCAATTACGTATCTATCCCCATGTAAACATATATATATATATATATCAAATTACATGCAAGAGAAGTATGAAGAGGTTTGTGCAGGACGTTAACTCCA